TCTTATGTTAATGTATGTTTAAATGTATACAATTGCAAACATTTTTATTATGTACTCTTCTACGCAATAAATCTGTGATTACTAATATTTGTATTATATTATTTTCTATAGTATAAAGATAGTTGAACTTCTTTCTAATGCTTTGTTGACTTGAACTTGATTTGTGTGGGTTTTTGAAGTAGAATAATTGTCTCTCCTCTCATTTCATTCAAAATTCAAAATCTGTCTACTGTTACAATACGTATATGAATACGTATAGCCCAAAATGTTTATTCTCGTAGAATGCAATTGCATGAAAATGTATCAAACATATTCTTCCTTCGACATACTAAATGGACTAAAAGACATACTAATGAGCTTTTTAGTAAATCGAGCACGTTAAGCTGCATTACAAGCATTATGTTGATTTGATGTTGCCATTCTGACAACAAACAACTGTCCCATTGTGGAAGAATGGCAGCATTAATTTCGTCATTAGCCGTTGCTATTATTAGTCGATAATCAATATTGACGTTTCAACACCTTTTTCAGGACATTGTGCATAAACCTGCCTCAATGCGAAGAAGGTGGTAGATGAGAAGCAAAGAAGCAGGATAAGCGGGTGAAAAAGGTGCATAAAATAAAACAGAAGGGAAGATGGAAGAGAGAGTAGAAAATAAGTAGGGGGAAAAGGGCGAGGAGCGGAAAAAAGGGAGAAAAGGAAATGAAAAGGGGAAGAAGAAGCAATAATTTACTTAAATTTTTGCCCGTTCTGGCAGCTCAGTTCGCCACTGTGTACCGCCGCCGCCGCCCCGCTCTGTCATCTGTTCCGCTTACGTCAGCACTGGTGGGTGGGCCGAATGGAAGGGTGAGGAGGGGGGGTAAGGAGCGGCCGCCACGAGGTCGCGTGAACTTCGCCTTGCGATAAACAACTGCGACGCGCCCGCCGTGCACTTGTTCGAAAAAGCTCGCGTGCAAGAGTGGCCGAGGCTGACAAGGGAAGGTAGAGAGGGTTAAAAGTAACACGTTATGATAATCTCCATTGTATCTGCGTTCAAGAGTTTTTATTGGATTATGATATGTACCATGAATTTTGAGGCATGGCGCATGTTACAACCTAAGGAAAAAGCGCAGTTTAGCAACGAACTAACAAACATACAGGCGTGGCGTTCTGGATGCTAGAAACGGGAATAGTATTTTTGAGGGATGGCACTGCCTGGTGGCATTAACCAGGGGTTAATGAGAGGGCGTTGAAAATCTAGATAAGACGAGAAGAAACAAATTCCCCCTCTCTGGGAAGCCGCTATACCGTACAGAAGGTAATGAACATTGCGATATTAATTTTGGCGTAGAAAACTTGTGTTGTCGGTAAATGTTTGTTTGAATATTTGATAATAGTATAGGCTAATTAGTATTGTTTATTTGTGGTTAAGTGGGTAAATTTTTGTATTTTTAATGATGGTTAACAGTTTAAGGTATTTCGGGAACTTTTGCATTTTAAATATCTATACTTCGTGTTTGGGTGTACATGAGGATAATTCTGTTGAGGGAAATTATAAATTAGTTATTTGAAAAGGGGATATGGGTTCCACCCGTAGCAGCCTGAATAGTTAGAAACATTCGGGAAATATTTAAAGTTTACACGAGAAATAGTCTCATGAACTACACCAGAGGAGGACCCAGAACATCCCCTTCTAGAGAAGACGGCATCAAATCAACTGTGATGAGCGCTCCGTAAGCTTGCGAACTTTTATCAAAGCCGTACAGTTTAGTAATGTTTCAAGGCCATAAAACCATATAATGAGCTCAAACCATGTTATAAGAATTTTGTAATAAATGATAAAGGTTGTTTGAAAAGAAAAGGCTGATATTTCATTCAAATGACATCAATTCAGTAATTAGTAAATTCCACAGAATTTTCAGGAATTGTGATTTCTGTAAAGTCACACATACACGTTGAACAGGTATAGTGACATATGTTCTAGGTCGAACTTATGCAAGGTTTTTAAAAAACAGAGCTAGCTAAATTATAATCCATTGGAACAATAATGTACGAGCATATCAGAGCATTGAAATAAAAAATATTATTGAAAAGAATTGTAAATAGAGGAAAACGTTACAAATGGTATGCTCAACATGCGGCATGGTAAACTAAGTTTAATTAGTAAAATATAGAATCCGTTACAATGTTAGGTCAAACTGGTCTCATGTAACGAAGAAAATAATAACTCTCTGGTAAAATTTGTAAAATCTTTTGGTACCTGCTTAATAAGTGGACGAAGACATTTCTAGAAGACTGAAATTATACTGCAATTATTCAGTAAAATAGTAACAAGTGAATGAAGATGAGTCCAAAAAGACCTTAGATATTTTACGAGGTTAATCTATTCAACGATCAATTTGTTTTGTAATATTTTATGTAGGTCTGGGTATTTCTAAAAGAAATCTTTTTCTACAGAGATTGCGGGTGATTATCCGAATACATTAAATTTTCAAGGCTCTCATTGTCATAGCTCCTTGAAGCGTATAGTAAAAAACATTGGTTTTATTATAGGGAAGGAAAACATACTGGTATGCTCATGTGAATGAGAGTGAAACAATTTTTAAAAGAGAGTACCTCATGTTTGTAATAGTTGGTTAGTAACATTTGCGACAATACTTGTAACTTGATTTTGGGCAAGTGGCACCACATTTCTCCCCACAAATCCCGCATGCATTTCAAAATTTTCTATGGCATAAAACACTAATTCTAATAGTGAAAATAACCATTATCTTACTTTGAACTTTTTCACTATCCTCATCTACGTATACTGTAAGCGAGTGTTTAAGTGAGGTAATAAATATAATAATATTTTATTGACTTGCTGCCTTTTGGGAATAATTTGGCCTGCATTTGGAATGGAAAAAAAAGTATAATGCAATAATCCTAATTAAAATTTTTAAGCAAGTTAATGAGAGGGTTTATTGTGCAATTACTGGTTGATCAGGGAGTAGTGTATATCATTGTGTATTATTGTGCAACTTTATATATTTACTGTGCCATTTATATTGACAGTGTGCAATCCTGTTTCAATAAATAACTTTAAAAAAATCAAAACGTTATCTTTATTACCTTAACTATTCCTGTAACATGTATCACATTCGGTGTTAACTGAGAACAAATATGTATAAGTCTGTCACTAATGTCTGTCATGTCTGGATTACATAACTTTCTCTTCTTACGAAGTTCCTTCTCAAGCGCGAAAAATAAAAAATCGTCATCTAAGAGCAGAGGTAGGTAATGAAATTAGATTTGTTTCGAAGATAAAATTACACCACATTTTTTAAAATTACTATTCCAAAAATGGAATTTTTGAAGCCTGCTCACCCTTCGGCTTCTCATAAGGTCAGATATACTCTCTCCCACATTTACATATCACATACAAATGACTCCACAATCGGTATGTAATGTTTGTATAACCGACAGTTATTTACGACCGAAGTATCACGTGATGTTATGATATGAATATTATAGAACATTTTATCCACTCAGTAAATTTTCAAATGAAGCAGTGTAACTTTTGATCAAATTCGACTATTCGTTGGAGCGAAAGGTGATGTACTGATGTTGATATCACTTGACGGAAAGTCAAGAATTTGTTCTAATATATGATCATGTTTTATCAACGGGCCATGGGTTATAACGGCACTTTTATCACAATATCTCTATTACGACACTGATCTCAGTTTTGTAAATCTTGACTCTAGACAATGTACGTGGATGCAGATTATTTGCAACGCGTAGATCGTGAGTTCCGAAATAACTTTTCCAGACTCGGGAACCCCAAAAACAAGCATTTCCGTCAACCTTGACGGCGATTCTTTTGCAGCATTACACAAGTAGGCCTTTCTATTTTATTCCTACCAGAAAGTAAACTACCATTGAAGAATACCTAAGCCGTATGAGCATCTTAAAAAGGAGGCGGAGCAGTTAAAAGACACCACCCAAATCCGTTGGACTGTCAGACATGACATTCACTTTGAACACGGGGGCTGAGCAGTAAAACGTGGCCATGTCCCATTTCGTAATCAGTATTTAGATACTTTTCATTTTCACGACATTTACTATTTTAACAAACATATTTACAAGTTCATGAAAGTGGGTAAATACTTTAATTTTGCCCTGAATTGTGCAATGCCGAGCAGTAGAATTCAGGGGAAAAGAATGTATTTCTCCGTTTTATTAATTACTAGTGGACCCGGGTATGCTTCACTATTGCCATGTATTACACTTCCCACGCTGCTGGTCACGTGATTGATAACCACGTTTTACTCTGCTAAAATTTTAATAGATGACCAACTTCCTCGCGAATATCGATTTGTTCGATGTCTTGGTTTACACATGGTAGTCAAGTATTGTTAAAAAGTTCTGCTTTGCGCTTCAACATTCATTCGCAATGACACTCTCTTGGAGAAATTTGATTTACTTGTTCGAAATATTGTTCAAGTAATAATTCCTGTCGATATTTCACAATCACAGGGGCAGAGTATACTGTGAAGGCACACTTAATTCTTGAGGGTGTGGCGGGTTGCATAGAGCTCCTGTTCAGGGGTCCTTAAGTCATCGTATACCCATAAAACTATCAAGGGGCGTATATGCGACAGCAATACGTATATTCCCATTATTCTATGCCTATATTTTTCACGCAAGTGCAAGAAATAAGTTAAAATTTTATCGCAATCGGATACACGGTACGGCAGCGTATAAAATACCAACAAACATTTATTTTTATACATTAGATGAAATATGTTTATTGAAATAGCAACTTCCTTTAATATGAAAGGGATCTAAATATTTATATAAATTCAATTAGAGAGTAATAAAAAAATAATCATCCGATTCCCTTCCTCCGCGTGGATCGTGAGCGAGTGACACTGTAGAGCGTCGTGGTGGGGGCGGCGGGCGCGAGGTCTGAGGGGGGGGGTTGGCGGCGGCGGAGGCGGCGGCGCGCCAGTCGAGGCACAGCGGCGGCGGCGGTGACATGGCTGCGCGCGCAGACGGGTGTGGAGCGGCTGCGCCCGCGAGCGCAGCGGCGGCGGCGGCGCTGGCCCGCGCGCAGGCGCGCACGGCGCTCGCGTCGGCGGCGTTCGGGGTGCGTATCCCGCGCGGCGGCGCGCGCACACCCCGCCCACGCTCAGGGGACCCGGCCCTACACCTACAATGATGCATTTCGTTCCAAACTACATACATTTTAAAATTGTTTTAGGATTTTGTAATGGGATTTATAAGAAAGTTTAATTTTTGTTGTAGATATGAATTTTTAAAAGTGTAGAATATTTTCACCCACATTTTTTATTATTGTAATGTACATAATTTTTATAAATAATAAGATATAATGAAAAGACTATGATATATCTTGTAGTTTAACTTGATGAAGAATGTCTTTGAGTGCGAAGTCAGTAGCTTTAATAGTTTACGAAATAACGTTCCGTATATACCAACAAACAAACTTATAGGAATCAGACTTCAAAGTTTGCTGTGTATTTCCAGTGAATTCCAGGTGCAAATGATGGATTTTCAGAATCATTTGACATTTACTCTTTCATTTTCTTTTCCACTGATGTCAAAGTGTATTTGCTTGCTTCTCTATTCCACTCCTCGTTTCCTCTCCCCTCTCCTTTCATGATTTATCTCATTGTAAAGTAAACAATAGAGTAAATTAAGATGAAGCATAGAGTTAGACACAGCAAGGGCGACGCGCAGCGTATTAATTTATTTTAAAAAATACTTAGAAACAACGTTCTAAAAATGATACCATCATTGAATTATTCAGATTAATAATATTCAATGACAGTGAAAATCAATACTTTTTTAATTTTTCGCCCTCCGGGTCCCCTTAATCTTCAAATTTCTTATTCGTGAATTTTACATTAATTTTTAAAACATTTTTCAACTTCGATGTTTTGTTTTCGTTCTTTTTGTGTCACTTATATTTTATTTTCGTATAAATAATATCCATATTTTATGGACAAACGAAGTCCATACATTTTTTTAAATTATCTAGCCCGATAATATAAGTTTTGTTATTTATCTTTATCATTTCTTGGCTGTTTTGGTAGTTAACCTCAAAAAATAAATAAACAAACGCGTCTATTATCAAATTATATCCACCCAACCATATTAACAGTAACGCAGTTTTAAAAACATCGATGTTCAAAAATCGATATTTTGGGGGTTATGTTTTGTTAATATCAATGCTTTAATTTTGAACATCGATGTTTAGGAACATCAATGTTTTGTTGGCGATGGCGCATCCCGCGCCCACACGTGCTCACCCCCCCCCCCGCGCATTCAATTAGCTGCTTCTGCGAGCTAATCGGTTCATATACAGTGTACGAAATTGCGCGAATGTCGAATTTCGGACATGATGTTTTGTGACCTGGTTCGAGGATTAGCATGCATTTATGACCCACAATTTGTATCAATATATCCTAACAATTTGTCTGCAGTATTCGTACTGTACTGTCTATGGACTTGATTTGTCTGTAAACAGTTTTCCTGCTTCTCAAAGAACGGGAAGGTCGCGGGGCGCCTTATGCGAGTCAGCGAGTGAACTTGTCGGGATAGATTGATTGATTGTTAGTGAATCTCTGGGCGCGTCAACTACTAAGATCATTCGTTCCGTAAATGTAGTGCATATTTTTGCTCGAGGTGCTAGCGGGGTTTCCCCAACCAGAAATCTCCCACCAGCGGAGCACCGTTCCAGCCGAAGCAAGCTCCCGACAGGTCACCCGCCATGTGGTAGTGTAGTGCACGTGCGTGTGTGTGTGTGTTTGTGTGTGTAAGGGGACGAGGATAGGACAAGGAAGAGGTAGGAAAGATCACTTGCGGACCGTGGCCCGTTTGTTATGACACTGCTCCGGCATTTTCCCGGTGAGTCTTCTTGGGATTTTCTTTAAATGATGACTTCTCTTTTAACTCTGCAAAACTCATTATTTACTATTATAATCTAGAATCCTGGTTTCTGCAACGAACGTTTTAATCTTTATGCTAGAGGACCTTTTCTATTCTTCTCTTCTGAAATATTAATATATCTGTTGAATACTTTTTTCTGTTACTATCAGTGATTATTACTTGAATTTGAATGTAGAATCTCAATTAATTCTATTTTTTGAAAAGTGTAACATAATATAAGTTAACGTAACGCCCATTGATACCACAAATCATCATATCTACGACGTGTGTTCCTTTATTGGTCATCGAGAAATGTGGGGAAAAGGTCAGTAGTAGCTAAAAGTTTGAGAACCACTTTTGTAGGGTGTAGATAGTGAAATAAAAAAATTAAAATATGAAATAAAGTAACTGTCTGTCTGTGACCGTTAAATGATGTAGTTCACGTGGCGTATTGATTCAAAATTGCATGACTTCGTGGAAGTTTCGTGTAATGCGTGTTGTGAACAATCGCTTAACAAATTGCGAGAGAAACTGCCATATGCGGGTGTTCAGGTACTGATCAGGAAGAGGATATTGTCTGCAGCTTGAAAGGTGTAACTTTAAACAAGGTTGCGCAACAGTCTGTTGATTTCACCATGATGCAATGTGTGCAAAGTTCAGGCTTCATGAAAAACAGTTGCACCGACACGTTTTTTGAAAGTACAGTAGATATCCACAATGTGACTGAGGTTGCCAAACTGAGTTGTTTCACTGCTTCCCTATAGTATAATTTATATTGGAAAATAATTTAATTTTTAAAATCAAATCCAAATTTTAAATTCAAATTAATTATATTATTTCAAAAGCAATATAACAATTTCAATATCGTCTAACGTACTTACTCTCTCCCCTACAATAATGCAGCGGATGTTGATGTTACTGACACATAGGTAATCATTTCTGACGTTATTTGAAATGATGCTCGCATTAGCGCAATGTCGTCTTAGACATGCTATACTGCCAAAGGATAGATTATTTATAAACAATATTTGATATATGTACATTCGTTACGGGGAGAGGAAAAATCGCCCCCCTCCCCCTCCCTTCCCTCTTCTTTATAAATTCACGTGGAGGGGGGTGAGCGGCTTTTGTCCAAACATCTCTCACATGCACGTCATGCACAGTTGGTGTAGTGTCATTTAGTAAATAAGACAATTCAATAGGGGGTGGAGGATGAAAACGTGTAGTGCGAGCAATAATGAACAAAAGTCATTCTCGTAAATAAAATGGGATAGAGATTTGATGATGATGATAAGTGACGATGCAGCTCAATGTTAATGGTGATTTGGAATCTCATGTAAAACTTCGCTGTGACCGCCCCCGTTTCCATAAATTCCATCCAGATACACCTTGTAGGCATTGTCGGAAATGTGAACTTCCATCTCGCTATGTTCCAGCGGATTCAAAACTGTACGAGTATCAAATGGTGATCTTTCTTCATTGTCATGTTTGAGTGATTCGTGATGTGTTGTGCGTGAGAGAAAGTACAGTGATGCATCGCATGTGGACGCACGCCTGTCTCCTGGCATGTGTTGCTCTAAGGCCTACGGACGTCAGGTGACTTGTACCAACAGACTCCGGTACCAATTGAAAAACTCCAAGTGCACAGCGCCCTCTTAACCTATAAACTTGCTTGCACTGAGCTTGGCGATGGTTAATTCGAAAGTTCAGTAATTAAAAAAGTTTCCAAAGAAGTACTTTGATAAATAATAATTAATGGAATATAACAAACCTGATATTGTCAACGAGTTGGTAGGATTCATTATACAGTTTGTTTTTTGTGGAGACAATACGGAATCAAGTTCAAAGATGTAGAACTTCATTTTAATGAACGATAAATTTTTCAATTTTTATTTACACACGCCAAATTTTACTAATATGTAAATAAAACACAGAACAAAGCCGATGAGATTTTAATTTAATCGTCACACCTAATAAATTTACGAGAAATTATGTTGAAAAGTTTACACGCTTACTAAATGCTTTGGAGGGCCTCTTCCCTAAATATTGTATATGAATTCTCCCAATTTTCAAGTTAAAAAAGAAAAATCAAGGATTCAACATATTTATAGAAATAAAATATTTTATTACGAGGGACTACATGGACCCTTTCGGATTGTTTACTGGGTCCACGACTCCCCTGCCCCCACCCCCATGTGCCTGTGATTCCTTGATTTTATGCCGGCAGGATCTTTCTACTACATGGTCGTAGTTAGCAGGTATGGCAATTATGAACAAGTTGCCCCTTGTTAGAAATCGAGTATGCCAGTTAAGTATTAAGTAGCCAGTAATATAAATATAAATACTGTTAAAATATAGCACTTTTAATTCCTATTTGTAGATTGCCCAGAAACCTGCATAAATTATAATTAGGCAGATTATCTAATTTTAATGTATAAAATATAATTTTAAAAGCTCTTCCTTTCGAATCTAATTATACATAATATGGATTAAAGAAAGCTTAAAAATCATCCCTTTTGTCTCATACTTGTCTTGACGCAATTTTGATTGAAACTTGCCCTCCCCTTCAGAAGTTTTGCCACACCCCTTAGCAAAATCATGGCTAAATCCGTGGGCCAGTATATGAACATAGCAGAGCTTTCATATCATCTTTAACACACGGTGACGTGTACGCTCGTGGCTTTTGATACTGCTAATAAAAACTAGACACTACAAGTCAAAAGTTGAGTGAACTCTTCAGAATTTTTGATAATTTAGCATTCATCTCTATACATAAGACCGTCTGAAGTGGTTCAGGGCATCAATCGATGTCATTGCAGTGCTTCTGATCAGGTCGTCCCGACGGTGACAGCTAGTGTCGAAAATCTGTTACTGTCGAGTCCCGCCGGTGACAGGATTTTTCGACACTAGTAGCTTGACAGCTGGGTCGAATTCTGCTCCTGTCTGGAATATCATTCTTGCGGTTGGCTGCACCAACAAGGGAAGGAATGCCGTAGCAGTAAGCTAATAAAGAAGCAACGGACCGCGCACGATCTTTGCCTCCTCTTACTTGACCTACCATCATACCTTACACACTAACATATACTACACATGTAGGGAGACGAGTCAGGCACTTACATCGTGACCCGGGTGGGGCAGTGCCCGCTGGTGAGAGATCACCCCGACGGGTAGGAAATGTCACCGCCACCTCAAGCGATTACACACGCGCTCAACTTTCGAGAATAGTAACCTTAGCGGATGTCACGCCCGGAATCTCTAATCAATCAATTTTGACATAAGTACAAATCAAGGAGCAAGATACCCCCCTCCGCCGCGCCCCGCCCTGTCCCGCCGCCGCCACGCCACGCCCCGTCACCCGCCGTCACGCCCGTCCCATCACGCCCGTCAACCGCCCGCCCAGGCCGCCGCCAGCCACGCCACGCACCGCATGCCCCGCCCCGCCCGCGCCCCGCCCTCGCGATCTGCGCTCTTCGCCGTAGCGCGCGGGCCCCTCCTTTGTGGCTGGCATCGCCGGCCCTGCGCAATCGAAGGCGTCGTGGAAGAGCGCGTCCGTTCCCAAGCGCGGCCCGCGCTCTCGTGAGAACTTCTCCGCGCCGCGTCCCGCCTGCCAAGGACAGCGACCGGGCGCACCAAGCGGCACGACAGAAGGCCGCCACCCACGCATTGTGTTGGCCGCTGGAACGCACCATTCCCAGCGGCGGTTTGATGTTGCGTCCCATGCCCGTGTCCTTACTTGCGATGGATCAGTCGGATCGACATTGATTCCACAGCTGCTGTCGCCTCTCGGTTTCCAGCAGCCCGCAGATAAATCACTTCACCGCGTTACAGAACATTGGCCTCCAACTTCATTACTCCGAAGTGGTCGTAAGTGCATTGCGGCTGAGTGTTTTCTGCCGCTGGAGGCTCGAAAACCCGAGGCGGCACTTGCTCCTTGTTATAAAGAGATTCACATAAGAAGAGGCAGCTTTCACAGCCACTACTTGGCTAATCCTGTCAACAAAACTGCAAATTAAAGCCACCTATTTCGTCGATGTATTTCTTTTGCAGGTGACTCACTTCCAACTGACTTAGACACTACCTCCTTTAATGCCATCGCCCGACATGACGTTAATTTGTTTCGTGATCAAACCGGTACCTTCTTAGAGTAACTTCTCTATACAGGGAGGGAGGTGTGTTAGTATTAGAAGCCCATTGGCCCATTTCGAAACGTATTTCCCCTGGCATGTAGTCTCTCACACGCATACTTCATTTTCAAATACTTTCAAGCCGAGAGGCATCTCTAACGTAACATCCATGCTCGAGGGGGGATTCGAACCCGCGACCTCTTCACCTCAGCGATCGCGGCTGCCGAGATTAGAAGATCAGTGATATATCCCACTACAAGACTCCTATTGTGTTTTGCGCGTCTTGCAGCTTGTCTCAATTTCACATCTCCGTCCTCTTATTTAATTAAATGTTTACTAATCAATTTTAATTTTCTTCTCTTCTCAATTACTTTTCAAAAGAAATGCACACAATAAAACAATAATTATTTGCACTTAACGCAATAATTGTTCGTTATTTGAAGAACACATTGGAAATGCGTTTATACGAAACCTCTAGAACTCCTTCGAAACATTTTGATATATCATTATTAAGTATATACTATGTATAGAAATAATTAAAGCAATACTTCCATCTTTCATTGATCGTTTACTTTCACTATTTCCTCAACATATAATAAATAATTTTTATTGCTCTGCGTGTTGACAAATGCGACGCCAAACTAGAGAGAAAGTGTAAGGAAAGGTCATCATCTCTGCGAACATTCACTGCAAACGCGTAGTGCCATTAACACTTGTTTTGTTTTTCAGATTCAGAATTTCTCAAGAGTTGAATAAGCACAGAACAGCTAATTAAATTTTCTTAATTTACTTTAGTCACGAAATTTTCTTTCGAAACTTCTTTGCGAATATATTTTGGTACTTGTTATTAAATGTATTTATATTGTACTAGTACTATACCTTCCTTTTCTTGTGTTGAGTATTGTATTAAAAATTTCGTACCAGCGGCAAACGCAAATGCTTACATCACATTTTAATGAATTTAGAAATAATTCGTGCTAATAAATTCATTGATGTTTGTTCCTTTGTCTGTACTTGTAGGAAAGAATAAATTGAATTTTTGAAGGAATGTAATTTTCGAAATTATAATTTTCGAAGCACACTGGCATTACGGTTCATTCAAGAAGTCATGCTTCTGGGAGAAGTCTCTTGGTAGGGTCACAATGATACAAGAAAGCACGAGCGACTAATTCTACAGATAACAGAATAAGTGCTTCTTAATTTTTCACTCTCATTCCGCCAAGTTTCCCACTTTCCAAGAACGACTAGTAGCGTTTTATATTAAACCACTCTAACAAAGGTATGTCCTCCATTAATATGTTTTGATTAGTATTATAATTTGTTTTTATAAAAAATTATAAACCAAATTATTGTGTATTTTGTTTTCAAAAATGAGTTTATCTCTTATCACTTATACTCCCATCGTTAACTCAGCTAACATTCCCAAATGTCGGAGCTTCACTAACCTTCGAATGGTTTTTATAATAAAAATCACTGAAATAAATTCAATTTTTCATTTTGCAGCATACTATGATTTACGTTATTTGTATAAGACTCCATCAACCTACAAAGCAAAACATTATGATCACTGTATCGATTCAAAAAATTTTGCCCATTTGTTGGTAGATGATATTCGAGAAGGTTGAAATAAAATCGTTTATTTCGTCTATAATAGATCAGAACATTCGTCATTGCGGAAACGAAGCAAGGGAAGTTAAGGGGGTAATGAGGCACTATTTTGCTGAATTCTGCTGGCATGAATAACTTTTCTATCCCACACAGGATCGCCAGGGGCTTCGTACAAACATCCGCATTTAGATGGATGTACATCCGCGCAATAAAAAAATTCAACATTTGAAGTGGGAAATTTGAATTAACATTACAATAATAGAAGTTTTCTTGGAGATAGTGACCCTGTGAAATGCTTAATAAGTGTAATATTTTTGTTTTTTAAAATTGTAATTAATAATAATAATAATGTAAAAACCTTTACTTTTTGTAATAATGATTTATATATTAATATTTAAAAATTATTTATGACTATACTTATGACCACAGCAGATTGTAGTAATACTTTAAGGAATAAAATAATTTCCCCATTTATTTTTACTCTCCTTGCTTCTCTTAAATATCCGGGCTTAAAAAGATGCACGGAAAAGCAACATATGCAAGCTTATTCCCTATAGCTTAACGGAAAGTGTTGGCAATGAAACCGTACTTCCATAAATGATTAATTTTAAATGGCGCGTTTTAAAATGAACACCAAGTGCTGCCAATGTGATACATTATATACTCATGTACACGATAAAGGCGTTATGACTTTTAAAATACACCTATACAAGAGATCTAGAAACTAAAATTACTCACTTCTTACTTATGTATAAGGTAAAAAACTTTAGAATCGCACTCACTATCAACGTCGTTGTGGTTGCTGTTTGAAACTTTTCTCGTAATATGATAAACGGTCCAAAACTGCCCATGTATTAATACATTCCCGCCCGTTGGGCGGTATTCCGCGAAATCCATTTTTGTTCCGATAGACAGAGAGAGAGTCGTTTTCCAACCCAAAAAGCGGAGTTCCGCCCAATCTGGCAACCCTTATCTCACTTGCTGTAAAATAATACGGAGGCACCTCTTTAAAGAACTCATGCGGAAATAGTGAAAAGATCAAGCAATTTCAAACTAGTAGGCGAATGGAAAAAGCCGTGCACACAAGCCTATTTCAGTAAAATTATCGCTTGATAAAAACTAGTGTCACTATAATATTGCCGAAAGGAAAACTAAGATATGAATTAATTTGTGTGGGATCATTGAATACTTTCAGACAAAGGGATTTTAAGTAGCTGTAAGTCCTCTAAATTACTGCCACTCAGCAACTAAGTTGTTTAACTCATTGTTCATCGAAATCCATAAATTGTTCGAAATCTTAAAAGAGCGGTAAGGAACTCGCGAAGTCAACGTGAAGATCATGACCCCCGGCTGGGCGTCCTCGAGCAGAAAGGCGACCAACAGGAACAAAACACCGGCGAGCGGTACTCCGAGTCGCGCCACGTTAGTGACGGGTTAAACTGGAAAGGCCGGCGGAGTTTCCTCCAGGGCAGGCGCCTCGGGGAATCCCACGCGCGGCGCTGCGGCGCTTCTTTTTACGAGAGCTGCTATCCGACGCCGACGGAGGCAACTTCTACGTAGGCAGCGCCGGTGCCATGCACGGGCAGACCGGGCGACCGCCAAGGGCCCCCCAAGTCAAGGGGCCCCATGATGGGGCTGATGATGGGACTGATGATGGGACTGATGATGGGACTGATGATGGGACTGATGATGGGAATGATGATGGGAATGATGATGGGACTGATGCTGGGACTGATGATGGGACCGATGATGGGAGCGATGATGGGACTGATGATGGGACAGATGATGGGACTGACGATGGGACTGATGATGGGACTGATGGGGGAAAATAGCAAAAATTTGGAAAACAAAATAATTAGGAATCGAGAAAATCGTTATCGTAAATTTATAGGTTCACAAGTCTGATACTTCATAAAATTTTCAGTTAAAATTTTAACTTAATTAATTATAGTCCTTGTTAAGTACGACTCTATGAAATGAATCAAATAACTTTAACATTATAATAGTTTCTACAGAAATTCAAATTTATTATGTCATGTATTTAACAAGAGATTTTCTTAATTACTAACTAAACACAACACAGTTTTAGCGCTTTAAGACAACCTGAAAATTGTTTCATTTGATCACTAAATACTTTAACTTGCAACTATTTTTCAAAATATATTACCAAAAACATTTTCTTTTCTCATCGTAATTTTTGGAATTGTCGGTAGGCATGTAAAAATTT